AGTCCGTAGCTGAGTACAACTCAGCACTTCATAATATCACCTCACGCCTGAAGTTATGTGGTGAAGAAGTTTCGGAGGAACGCATGTTGGAGAAGACTTACACATCCTTCCACGAGAAGGATGCAATCCTCATGCAACAGTACCGCGAACGAAAGTTCAAAAAATATTCTGAATTGCACTCCACCCTTCTGATGGCGGAGCAAAACAGAGAATTGCTTTTGGCCACTCATAACCTACGCCCTGCAGGCTCAGCTCCACCACCCGAAGCTCACATGTTTTCTTCCCAGAAGCAGAAGAAAAAGCATAAGGGTAAATTCAACAAGGGGAAAGCCCCTAAGTGGCAGGCCAGATGTCAACCCCAGAAAAACAACCCTCCCCAGAGCAGCAATAGTGAGGGAAAGAAGAAGTGGAAGAAGAAGACCACTGAGCTGTCGTCCATTCCCAAGAACACTTGGGAGGACAAATGCCACAGATGTGGCATGACTGGACATTGGTCCAGAAACTGTCGCACTCCGCGACACCTCCAAGATCTGTATCTAGCGAGCCAGAAGTCTCCTGTTGAAACAAATCTGGTGGAAAAGCAGCCGTCTACTCAGTTCACTGCTGATGACTTCGAAATGGATGATCTTCTCGACTAGATCCATGTTATCTTTATATGCATTTAAATTCTCATAGTACTTTCATCTTTAGTTCTTTACTTTCCATGTAATGCACTTTACTTTTCAATAAAGATAGTTATTTTCTTTAGATTAAAATATTGCATTCATGTTATAGATGAAGTGTGAGTGCCTTGTGGACAGTGCCTCGACGCACACAATCCTTCGCGAAAGAAGCTATTTCAATAGCTTATATGATTATGACGATCCCGTAATTACGATTTCGGGACTATCTAACATAATAGAAGGATTTGGTGAAGCAATGATATTGCTCCCAAATAAAACGAGACTAATAATAAAAGATGCATTATTCTCTCCGAAATCTAATAGAAACCTCATAAGTTTCAAGGATATTCGTTTAAACGGATATCACTTAGAAACCAATGATATAAATGAGGATGAGTATTTGTATGTAACTCGTCAAAAAGATGGTTCAAAAACTATCTTAGAACGATTCAAGGGACTCCCGTCGGGTCTCTATCATACATATATTCAACCAGTAACGATTCAAGGGACTCCCAACGGGTCTCTATCATACATATATTCAACCAGTAGAAGCTAACATGATTGTGCACCAGAAGTGCCATTCTTCGACGAAATTTAAACTTTGGCATAACAGACTGGGTCACCCAGGATCAGCAATGATGCACCGCATCATGAGCCAATCAAGTGGACACAACCTGAAGAACCTGAAGATTCTTCAGAAGGGTGATTACTCATGTCTATCTTGTTTCCAAGGTAAACTGATCACGAGACCTTCCCTTCTGAAAGTGGGATTAGAGTCTCCTAGCTTCTTGGAGAGAATACATGGCGATATTTGTGGGCCTATTCACCCCGCAAGTGGACCATTTAGGTACTTTATGGTACTTATAGATGCATCAACCAAGTGGTCTTACGTGTGCCTTTTGTCCACCCGCAACTTAGCTTTTTCAAAGCTATTGGCACAAATTATTAAGTTACGGGCTCATTTTCTCGATAATCAAATCAAGAAATTACGTCTTGATAATGCGGGAGAATTCACTTCACAAGTCTTTCAAAACTATTGCCTAGCAACTGGCATTGAAGTTGAACATCCTGTAGTACATGTTCACACCCAGAACGGGTTAGCAGAATCTCTAATTAAGAGGTTGCAATGGATTGTTCGTCCATTGTTGATGCAATCACAGTTGCCTGTTGAGGCTTGGGGTCATGCCATATTTCATGCCGCATCGCTTATCAGAATACGGCCCTCTGGTGGCCATATTTTGTCACCAATGCAGCTTGCTTATGGTGCACCTCCGAATATCTCACATTTGAGAGTGTTTGGTTGTGCAGTTTACGTCCTAATTGCTCCTCCACAAAGGACCAAAATGGGTCCACAGCGTCGTTTGGGTATCTATATAGGGTTTGATTCGCCCTCTATAATAAGATACCTTGAACCCCAGACGGGTGACGCATTTAAGGCACGTCTTGATGATTGTGAATTTGTTGAGGATTCATTTCCTAAACTTGGCACACAGTCCAGGAAGCCTGACGCTTCTAAGACCATTTCTTGGAACACCAAGACTTTGTCTCATTATGATCCGCGTACTAGTCAATGTGAAGATGAGATCCTGAAGATTCTTCATCTTCAGAATACAATACATTTACTTCCGGATAAATTCACTGATAACCAGAAGATTGTCAGATCACACGTCCCTGCTGTCAACACGCCAGCTAGGATTGACATCCCCAAAGATGGATGCAATCCGCCGGCAGCAGAAACGGCTGTACCTTAATTGAAAAGAGGACGCCCACCAGGTTCGAAGGACAAAGTCCCTCGTAAAAGAAAAAATCCTGGAGAAATAAAGATGAACCTAACACAGGATACTGAGCTCAGACCAGCTTCCTCTCCCCTCCTAGATTCACCTGAAGAGTAGCAAACAGGAGAAACATCATTAAATTTCGTACGTACTGAGGAGGTACTGGACAGAAAAAACATAGTCGTCGACGACGACTTTGCGTTCGATATTGCCGTTCACGTCACTGAATATGACGATGAAATCGAACCACGGTCTCTAGCGGAATGTAAACGCAGAGATGATTGGCCAAAGTGGAACGAGGCAATAGGAGTAGAACTGGACTCACTCTTGAAACGCGAAGTCTTTGGACCTGTAGTCCAAACACCTGAAGGTGTAAAACCTGTGGGATATAAGTGGGTCTTCATCAGAAAAAGAAATGAACATAACGAGGTTGTGCGCTACAAAGCACGGCTTGTAGCACAACGTTTTTCCCAAAGACCGGGAATAGACTATAAAAAAACATATTCTCCGGTTATGGATGGGAATACCTTCCGATTCCTAATAAGCCTCTCATCTCTGGAAGGCTTAGAAATGCAGCTCATGGATGTTGTGACTGCATATCTATATGGCAATATAGATAAAGATATCTATATGAAACTCCCTGAAGGATATAAAATTCCACCAGAGATAGCAGATAGACCTCGGGACGTCTATTCTGTTAGGCTTTAAAGATCATTATATGGTCTTAAACAATTGGGGAAAATGTGGTATAACAGACTAAGTGAGTTCCTTGCTACGCAAGGATTCACAAATGATAAAGTCTGCCCGTGTATCTTTATAAAAAGATCAGGAACAAGATTTATTATAGTCGCCATCTATGTCAACGACTTAAATCTCATTGGATCTCCTGCAGAGATAGCTGGGATATCTGGAAGCCTTAAGAATACTTTTGAAATGAAAGACCTAGGCAAAACAAAGTATTGTCTTGGCTTACAGATCGAACACCTTAAGGGTGGTATCCTGTTACACCAATCCACATATACATGGAAATTACTTAAAATTTTCCGAATGGATAAATGTCATCCTCTTAGTACACCAATGATTGTTCGATCATTGGATGTAAAGAACGACCCCTTCCGTCCGCTGGAAGAGGGGGAGGAAATGCTAGGTCCTGAAGTACCTTACCTCAGTGCCATTGGAGCACTATTATATCTGGCTAACTGTACGCGTCCCGATATAGCGTTTTCAGTTAACCTACTAGCCAGATACAGTGCAGCGCCCACAAAGCGCCACTGGAATGAAGTTAAGCATCTTCTGCGCTACCTCCAAGGGTCTATAGACCTGAGATTATATTTCCCGAAGGGTGGGTCTCCCACCTTAATTGGTTATTCAGATGCAGGTTACAGGTCTGATCCCCACACCGAGAAATCACAAACCGGATTTGTGTTTACATTCGGTGGTACGGCCATCTCCTGGAGGTCTGTCAAGCAAACCACTGTAGCAATCTCATCCAACCATTCCGAACTCCTCGCGATCCATGAAACCAACAAAGAATGTGTTTGGCTTCGTTCTGTCATTCAACACATCTTAGTGTTTACCGGCTTGAAGACTGGTGACCTTGAGCCAACTACTATATTTGAAGACAATGCAGCCTGCGTTGCTCAACTTCAGTCTGGCTTCATCAAGGGTGACAAGACGAAGCACATATCTCCCAAGTTTTTCTGGACGCACGATCTTCAAGAGGAGGAGCAAGTTAAAGTACAGCAGATCCAATCATGTAATAATTTAGCTGACTTGTTCACTAAGGCTCTGCCTAGATGTACTTTTGTAAAACTTGTAAAAGGAATAGGGATGAGACATCTGAAAGACCTACAAGCCTGAAGCTTGTATGGTTCAGGGGGAGTAATCTATGGGTTGTACTCTTTTTCCTTAGACTGATGGTTTTTCCCACTGGGTTTTCCACAGCTAAGGTTTTAACGAGGCAAACAAGTTTACTCTGGATCCAGAAGTATCCACCCCATTAGCTTTACGAACCCTGAAGTGTTCATAAGCTAAACCCAAGGTAATGGATGGATAAGGAGGAATATTATGAGATGAGGGAGGCCTTTGGCCTCCCCCTCATTATCCCTCCATTCACACCCCATTATGGTGGTGTAACACCCCACTAAGTGGGGGTGACTCTTGGGTACTCAACCTATTCACATTGACTAGTATAAATATTTATCATAGGCCTTTGGCCTATGTATGAGTTTCAAACAATGAAGAAGAACTTGATACATATTCTAATGCGTAGTTTTTAAACTTAATTATTATTATGGTATTTTAATTGATTCCATTCATATTCACTAATTGTATTTACTAAGAAATGCGTCTCATATGTCTTCTGGATGATTTTCTACGTACTTTGGATTTTTTTGACACTTTTTAGAGAGAGAATTCTTACACGATGGACTTATGATCGAGCTTGATGACATCAATGGGTAGCAAACTAATTAATAAATAATAATCACCACGATCTAAGAAAAATCTATTTAAAGGCCAGCATATGCTAGTCACTCTGCCATTGCTTCTCTTTCTCTCTCAAATGAGTTCTCGTCCCTCTCTCTTCGACTCTTGTGCCTTCATTCTCCTTCTAAATTTTATTACATGTAGTCCTCCTACACAAGTTAATGGGGTGGAGGAAGCTTATCATCATGTTGTCGATGTTCAATCTTTGTTGCCTAAAGATGTATGCATATTATCCAAAGGTTTGCACGCTAATTCTCTATTAACTTTGTGTCTCAGTTTTACTTATCAAGTAATCGAATTCTTAATTAATAGTCATTATACGCATTAAAAGTCTTTTACAAAGAGAAAAGGTGGTACAAATTAATGAAAGTTAAGCCTTTATATATTTTTGGTTCTTAATTAGTGGTTGTATGTAGTAAGTCTTTTAGATAGTAGAACACATCTTAAATTACCAATTACATGCAATTAATTTCTAAAACAACTATACCACAACACTCCTGAACTGTAGTTTATTCTCATTTTTAACTGAAAATGAATCATAATTATACATTAACTAATAAATAATTTTGATTATGAAATTGACTATTTAGTGATTGTCCACAACGAATGGAATCTGAATCTCTTAAACCTACATATTATCTTTGTTCAAAATTGGTTATAAATTGATGAGTAAATTCAATTTTCTTTTGATTCCTTATTTTTTTTTCTTTCTTCTTCATTTGTTAGATGTGATTACATACCTAGATAGCTAATAATTTCGTGATATATAAATGTACATCTTTTTTGCCTAAAATCATTACGACATCGATATAGCTTCTTGAATAACATAGAGTTAAGGTGCAAATTGCACTTTGTGTACTGCTTGAAGGCGTAGCTGCAAATTAATTATAAACATTTACCGAGTTAAAGACATCAATTGCAGAATTAGATAAAGTGCAGTATATAAATTCTCTTATACTTAAATAAAAAAATGATATAAATGACAGATTATTTTGTTAATATGGACATAGGTGATGACTAGGTTTAGGCTTTGAAGTCCCATGACCATGTGCCTTGAGGCATAGAAAACTTTAGGGGCCGGCTTCAATCATTGATCATTAATTAATTAACAATTGTTTGATGCACAAGGGATTCCATTTCCTTCATTCAGATGTCAAACCAATACACACAGATAGGCAATTCATTAAACATGAGTAAAACTAGGCAATCCAGTGACGTCATTTGACACTGATGCACGGTGTGTAAAGCTCTGTCATTCCCAAATAGCTGGTACTTTTTTTTTTCTTTTTTCTTTTTTTCGGTGATTCAATTTCGATTTCAACATTTGCAGAATCCGACCCTACAAAGCTCCAATTAGTCCACCGTCACGGCCCATGCTCTCCCCTCAACCCCAAACTCAAGTTCTCCCACGAACAAATCCTCAATCACGACCAAACCCGAGTCGACTGGCTCCACCGCAAATCCTCCTCCAGCGCCTCCACTGCCAGCGCGGCAGCAGCGGCAGACATAATCGCCCATCCCTCGCCACCGCAACATCCAGCCCACACGGGGACTCCTCAACACCGGCAACTACATCGTCCCTCGGTTTCGCACACCCAAAATCACCAGTCCGTCGTGTTCGACACGGGCAGCGACGTGACCTGGATCCAATGCCAACCTTGCGTCTCCGCCTGCTACCAACAACAAGACCCTCTCTTCGACCCGCGCCAAGTCTCCACGTACCGCAACATATCGTGCACCTCTCCCTTCTGCTCCGCCCTCGACAGCAGCGGCTGCTCCGGCTCCACGTGCCTCTACGCCGTCCAGTACGGAGACAATTCTTCACTGTCGGATTCTTCGCACAGGATACGTTATCCTTACCGCAGCTTCAGAATCATCTCCAACCTCCGATTCGGCTGTGGCGAGAAGAACAACGGGCTTTTCGGCCAGGCCGCTGGCTTCTGGGCCTGGGCCGTCAACCAGTTTCGGTAGTAATGCAGACGGCGAGAAAGTTCGGCGGAGTTTTCTCATACTGCCTCCCGTCGAGTGCGGCCTCCACCGGATACCTAAAATTCGGAGGCGCTTCCGTGTCGAATGTGATGTTTACGCCTATGCTCTCCCAATCTGGAATGCCGACATTTTACTTTCTTGAGCTGATAGCGATATCTGTCAACGGACAAAAGCTCGCCATATCGCCTACATTGTTTTCCAATGCTGGGACTATTATCGACTCTGGCACGGTCATCACCCGTTTGCCTCCGACAGCGTACTCTGCACTGCGGTCGGCTTTCAAGAAGGCGATGACCCATTATCCGACTGCCCCGGCATTCTCAATCCTCGACACGTGCTATGATCTTAGGAATTACACAACGTTCAAGATACCGAATGTGGAATTGCTGTATCGAGGAGCGACGATGAAATTGGACACGATGGGTATTCTGTACCCGGCGAGTACCACGCAGACTTGCCTAGCTTTTTCGCCCAACGGAGATGATTCCGATATGGTGATCATCGGAAATACTCAGCAGAGGAGGTTCAATGTGGTGTACGATGTCATCAAGAAACGGATTGGGTTTGGGCCTGGTGGTTGTAATTAGTTAATAGTCAGTGATTGGGTGCATGATTAGGTCCTGATTGCTGCCTTAGGGGTGTTTGTTTCTATGAAAGTGAAAAGTAAAAGTGTGAAAGTGAAATGCTTTTGACATCTTAGGTGTTTGTTTAATTGAAAGTTATTTTGAAAGTGAAATATCAAAATGGATCCACATAAGTTTTAATTCTGGGTTAAGTACCCCTAAAAAAGTGCTGAAGTCAGGTCAACGTGAGAAATATAGGGGCCACCACTAGGGGTGGAACAAATCGAATATGATTGAATACATTTACATTTGAATTTTAATTCCGTTTTCTCTATCGAATTCGAATTTGAATTCAAACTTCGTGTCGCATAGGTAAGAGGCGCTCAAATTAGATCCGTTTAATTAAACCATTATTTAACAAATATTCATGAGTACTTGTTAGCGTGCTTAGTTGAGGCATTTGCCTCTTTAACTTGAGGTCATGAGTTAAAATCTTGTGTCAAATATTAACGAATACTTGTTAGTGTGTTTGGTTGAGGCATTTGCCTCTGTAAGTTGAGGTCATGATTTCAAATCTTGTGTTGGTAAATTATTTGTTCTGTTTGTTTTTTACATTTTGCTAACTAGATGATGATTACTATGATATGCCTATTAGATCTAAATTAAAACTTGAGATCTAAATCATAAAGACATGATTAATTCGAAGAGATTAACAATAATCAAAAGGAGCGGAAGCTTATACCTGAATCCATAGATGAAACTTGAGATGAGTTTTGGATCTTCTAACCTTAGGGTTTCTCTAGCCAAATTTCTCTCTAGATGGGGGTGAAGAGAATTAGAGAGTGTAACCCTAGATTAGGGACTATAACCCCTTATTTATAGATGTTGTACATTTATAATTTGGCCCCTCATCAAATTACAATTACAACCTGGTATCTGCACATATAACCTCATGACTTATTTAAATACACATTAACCCAAATTAATTGATCACTTTAGTGGGTTATCCTGAAGGATAGCAATACACACAGATTAATCATATGTGCCCACAAATAGATTTAATTAGATTTAAATCCAACAATCTCCCACTTGGGCACCATATGACTCCTTAAAGTGTGTATAACCTTATGAGCTCAAAACTGCTATCATTGAAAAAGGTATTTCCGAACAATCTCGTCCATTAACTTTATCAATATAGGATCAAAGCGGCATTCGTCACATTTATCCTGACTCAACCCATCAATGGTCACATATACCAATACAATCAAACGACATAGATCAATCATGGATGTGCAGCATAAAAATTACATGCAATGTGATCAGTACATGTCTATTTTCAACTGGTCCTACTTTAGTGAGGTCAAAACCAAACATAATATAACAGAGTGTTTGAACTGAAAAACTTTATTCTGATCAGACAATACAACCAAACATAAAGCACCACAATTACAAACTCCCACTAAATCATGATATCCTCAAATAATACCACATCCATATGAGCAGTATGCTTAAGAAAGACCTTGGATGGCAATCCCTTAGTAAGACGATCAGCTATCATGGAGTTTGTCCCAATGTGTTCTATAGATATCTGTCCACTCTGTACCCTTTCTTTCACAACCAGGAACTTAATGTCAATATGTTTTGACTTAGTTGAGCTCCTGTTGTTATTGGAATATATTACTGCAGATTTATTATCATAATATAACCTTAGTGGTCTTTCCATATTTTCCAAAATGCACAGTCCCGTGATAAAATTTCGCAGTTATATTCCCTGATTGAATGCCTCATAGCAAGCTACAAATTCTGCTGCCATAGTTGAGGAAGCTACTAGTATCTGTTTGACACTTTTCCATGATACAGCTCCTCCTGCTAACATATAAATGTAGCCTGATGTAGATTTTTTGCTATCTTGACATCCAGCAAAATCAGAATCAGAGTACCCAATGACCTCCAGCTGATCTGATTTTTTGTATGTGAGCATGTAATCTTTTGTTTTCTGAAGATACCTCATAACCCTTTTGACTGCTATCCAATGATCCATACCAGGGTTGCTTAAGTATCTGCCTAACATCCCAACAATGTACGCAATATCCGGACGCGTACATATCTGATCATACATTAGACTTCCTACAGCCGAAGCATAAGGAATCTTCTGTATTTCCTGAATTTCAAGGTTACCTTTAGGGCACTGATTGAGACTAAACTTGTCTCCTTTAGCAACGAGGGTATCTCCTGGTCTGCAATCTTGCATGCCAAACCTTTTAAGTACTTTATCGATATAGCTCTTTTGTGATAATCCAAGTATACCTCGAGAGCGATCTCGATGTATCTGGATTCCTAATATAAAAGAGGCATCCCCAATATCTTTCATTTCAAAATTCTTTGATAGAAATCTCTTGGTTTCGTGCAGCATGGCTATATCATTAGTGGCAAGCAATATGTCATCGACATACAGAACCAGAAAGATATACTTACTCCCACTGAACTTAAGATATACACAGTCATCAACAATGTTTATCTCAAAGCCAAACGAGATAATTATTTGTTGAAACTTATGATACCATTGACGAGGAGCTTGCTTGAGTCCATAGATTGATTTCCTTAATTTGCAGACCATATTCTTTGGGTCTCCTGACACAAAGTTTTCTGGTTGCACCATATAAATCATCTCATCAATGTCTCCATTAAGAAATACAGTCTTAACATCCATCTGATGTAACTCAAGATCATAATGAGCAACAAGTGCCATGATTATTCTGAAAGAGTCTTTCGATGAAACCGGAGAGAAAATCTCTGTATAATCAATGCATTCCTTTTGAGTATAGCCTTTAGCCACAAGACGTGCCTTATACCTCTCCACATTACCGTTTGCATCCCGCTTGGTTTTAAAAATCCATTTACAACCAATTGGTTTTGCACCTTCTGGTAATGGGAGAAGTTCCCAAACCTTATTGTCTTGCATAGACTTGTACTCTTCATTCATGGCATCAATCCACTGTTGAGAGTTAGAACTTTTCATGGCCTGAAAGAAGTTGATTGGATCATCTTCCAACATTCCATTACTTTCCTCATGTTCTTGAAGAAATACAATATAATCATCCGAAATAGCATTTCTCCTTTCTCTCGTGGATCTCCTTAATGGCACTGGTTCTTGAGGTTGTTGAGTTTGTTCTTCTGGAACAGGGAGTTGTTCAACATTGTCATCTTGAGGTTCTGGATTTACTTCTTAAGCAATAACAGGTATAGGAACCTGAATATTATCAAAAGTAACTGTATGGATTGGATCTGAAGCTAATTCCTCCTCAAAACTAATATCTCTAACCTTATTTCTCCCCCCAAACTCAACATCCTCAAAGAATGTTGCTGTTCCCGTCTCAAAAATATTCCTTAGTGTGGGATCATAAAACTTATAGCCCCTAGAGCGTTCAGAGTACCCTATAAAGTAGCTGCTAACTGTAGGCATCGAAAATTACCTATAGGTCTCCGTGAGTAGCTCAAAGCTAAGAGGAGGTGAGGAACATCACTATCCAAATCACAGAAGCTTGATTGATGTTACGCTTGAAGTGAATCGACGAACTACGTGAAGTAATGGAATTTCAGAATAACGAAGACACGAACTGAACGGGAGCCCCGCGTCGCTTACAAAAGATGAAACGACGCTCCTATCCCAGCTTAATCCACAATGATCTCATCATCAGAGCTTATAGGTCTCCTCGCCGACCTTCCAACGCACTTTGAATCACTCAAATTCGAGTTCGAATGAAGAAGTTACAGAGGAAATGGACAAGCACGCAAAACGGATTGTCTCAGCCTAAGCTGAGACACCCAAGGGTGTCTCCACCCGACCAATGGTGTCTCCACCAGAGCAAGGGTATCTCCATTCTCGCTGAGACACCGAAGGGTGTCTCCACCCGAGCAAGGGTGTCTCCATTCTCGCTGAGACACCCAAGGGTGTCCGCAGCCCTAAAAAGTTGTTCTTTTCACTGTTATGCAGTTTTAACCGTCCAAACTTCCTGGAGCCTATAAATACAGCCCCAGGGCCCTCATTTTTCGGGATCTGGAATTTTGGAGAATTGGCGAAGCCCTACCGGATTAAAGATTGATCGAGTTCTTCAACGCTAGAGAGGGAGATTCTTCAGATCTGCACCACCCGCGTCCGATCCTTAGGATTATCCCGTTGCAATAATTCTAAGAAGAGAAATTATCTCGCCATTGCCAAGATAAGTGCTTCTGCTTCTAGATTCCTTCACGAATCGACGGAGTTCTAGATCTGATCTGATTGTCAGGTAGTCCACGGATATCGACATCCCCGTCACCGGCTAAAGACCCACGCAAGCAAGAAACGACGAACGGATCTTGTGTTATTTTCGAGAAAGTTGTAATCTTTCATTTTCCTTTGTTAAAATTTGAATTCTTTGTAAACGATTGATATTATAATGAATTCAGCAATGAAGGCAACTTTTACCGAAAACAAACTGGCGACCACAGTGGGAGCCAACAGCCTCGTTGCCGAGGCTGTCGTGTCGCAACCGACATTCAAGATCCGGGTGAATGAAGAGATCGAATATGAGTTCGATCAACAAAAGTTTGAAGAGTACCTCTCTTCCTCCTCCCCCAGATCCGCCTCTCCAAGCAGGCGCAGGAATGTCTCCTCTTCCAGAAACACTCGCGAGGTTTCAGGCTTGAAAATCAAGGATCCCCTCGCCACCGCTACACCCGTGCCCCGCGACATCCCTGCGGCATCCAAAGAGGTCGAAGCTGTAGATCCGGACTCCTCCTCCGCCATGAAGATAACTGATGAAGGCGCTCCAATTTTGTCGAAGAGGGCACGCCAGAGACGGCGTCAACGCCTTGCGCGATAACTAGCCAAAGCTTCGGAGTCGATGGACGGGATCCGCTATAATGAGGATCTAAAATCAAGGCAGCGCCAAGAACGGTAACGGCGAACCGCCAACCTTTCCTCTAAGGCGGAGACAAACGAATGGGTCCGCATCAAGAAGACTCGCTCTACTCTCGAAGAGCGAATCAAGAAACACCGTGCATTGCTCGTGCATGCCCGAGTCCTTCTGCAGAAAGCGGAAGAGATGCAAAAAGAAGAGACGGTTAAGAAGCCGCCCAGACACAAACAGGTGTGGGTACCAAAGGCAAAACCAGAACTTAAGACAAAAGTGGA